AACCCTAAGGGTCCAAGTACCTGAACCGTATGTAATTGAAGCCCAAAGTACCTACAGAGGAACCCATGTGGGCCCAAATTATTCACTATTGGAGTACTTGGACCCTTACGGCTACAACCCTAAACCCTATATACACCCTAACTAAACCCCCTTGGACACTTAGGCAAACACATTGTCATCTTCGGCCTTAGGATTTCGTCAAGGCATGGGGTGTGTGCGGGAGTGAGGGCTCTAGGGGGTGGTGGGGGGGCTTGGGGTTTAGGATTCAAGGTTTTGGGTTCAGGGTTTACGGTTCAGGGTTTCAGGGATTGGGGTTTAGGCTTCAGGCTTCAGGGTTCAGGATTTAGGGACTAGGGGTTTGGGCTGTATGTTTCTGGGTTAGGGGCTCAGGATCGAGGGTTTAGGGCTGAAGGTGACGGTTTCGGTTGAGGTTTGCAAATTTGCAAACATGTAGCTCCTTTTGCAGGGAACCCAAAATGAACCTGTGCATTTTCATGCAGAGTCCTCCAAATTCCCCTGATAGCCGCGTGTCTTTAGCAACCAGACCCTCAACCTTGAACCCTCCACCCTAATCCTTATACACCCTAAACACTGAAAGTCTCTTCAGCATCCCATTGCGTGGCATGCTACTTTCGTGGGCGCAAAGCAAACAAGGGGTCACATCCCGAGCTTATGTTGCGTCAGTCACGCAGCAGTTTCCCCTTTGCTTAGTGTCTCGCCGAGCTGTGGGATCTGCTGTTGGGTTCACATCGCTCTCCTCAATTTGGCAGTGCCCCGCACAGGATTTGGATTTTGGCAGCAAAAATGGAGATGACCCAGGTTATGATTTGGGCCTGATTAGGGGGTTGGGAATTCTGCCGGTACAGTATACAACAGCCCAGCATGATTCCTAGCATCAGCAGATTTCCGAGGAACCTAAACCCTAAAGCCGGCATAATTCCCCAAATTCCCGACATAGCCCTACGCCACACCAGATCCAGGCGCCGCGGCCTCGAATCAAGAATGCCACGTTGCCGAAAACCGAAGAACAACGGAAAAGAACAGCTGAGAAGCCAGACCCTGGGGCTCTAAGTCTATAAATAATACCTACATTGGGCCCCAAACCCTATAAATAGTACCTACATGGAGCCTTAGGGAGATGAGGCTGCCGGCGGAGGCACGTCGAAGGGAGGAGACACATTCGAAAGCTACAGGGCCATCCCTTGCCTCTCCCAAAGCGTCCAAGGGACGCAAATAATAGGAGTTTAGGGCCCAAATACTATAATAGTAATGGTATTTGGGCCCTAAAACCCTATGATTTGGGTCCTTGGACCCTTATATGGTTCCCATATAAGGGTATATATATATATATATATATATCCCCCTAGAACCCCCCTAGAACCCCTTTAAAGGGACCCTATCATTTGGTTCCTTGGACCCTTAGGGTCTGGCAGCTACGAGGAATGGGCTGAGAACGACTGCCACGGAAATCGGCATTGCCCGGGTTTCGGTTTAGGGTTTTCTGGTAGGTGCTGTAGCAGCCCATACATAATCCGCTACATCCGTTGTTATCTCTAACTTCTACGTTCCCTAACATGTCCCCTGAACCATGATATAAAAAGTCTCTTATATATAAAACCTAAGGCGAGTGTAATCCTCCCTTGAACACTGGCCATGTGCGATTAACGCTATGATTCAACACCAAATGGCAGGCTACCTGTTGCTGAGAGTTTAGGTTTAGGGCTTGAGGGTCACGGGTTGAGGGGTAAGGTTCGGAGGTTCCCTAAGCCCTGAATCCCTTAACCCCCTCAACCCTCAACCCCAAACCCTAAACCCCAACCCCCCGAACCCGAAACCCTCAGGGTCAAAGGCTAAACCCTAAACCCTATACCCTAAACCCTAAAACCCTAAACCCTAAACCCTAAAACCCTAAACCCGAATCTTTTTCTAAGAGCCAGCCCCGGGCCTCCAGGAAGAGCGATCTTTCCAAAGGGCCTCATGGCTGACTAAAACCCTTGGGCTTTGGGTTTAACGTTTAGAGTTTAAGTTTTTTTCCAGCTGAGCTTTTTGGTTTATATGGTAGCTTCTATAAATTAGGGTCCCCCTTCTACACTCTAACATCCTATAACGACTATGATGGGGAACCCCAAGAAGGCACCCTACTTGGGGATAAACCCTGAACCCTAAACCATTACATGTTTCGGTGGAATGCATTCCGCTACTTGGAGGGTCTAGGATCTAGGGCTTCAGGGTTCAGGGTCTAGAGAGGGTCCGGAGGACTTAGCAAGCATCCTTATAGCCCCCTATATAAGCCCTACTGTGAATCTTGCGGTCCCCGGTGGTCGAGCCAACAGTCTCGAGATCTTCCCTGGAGATCAGATGACCGCGCGTGTTGACGCTTCTGAAGCGTGTGGCCTTCGGCGCTCATCAGGCCATGCCCGACCGCGGTTGACAGCGAGATCTCTGTAGCTATGATCTGATCCTGACGTATTTGAGGAACAACACGCCACTCGAGCTGACCGACGCGCCGTTGAAGATCCACTGGAGCTCAGGTCCGTGCGAGCTGGCGTACGCGCGGTTGACGACTCTGTCGCCGAAGAAGGCCGCCCTATATGGGTATTTCCAGAAATATGGAGTCCAATATAGCACGCAATATGCGATAATCCGTAGTATAAGTACCCCCCCAACAAGGGCTCCCCAATTTTCAGACCCAAATAAGCTATAGTCTGAACTCCTAGAATCTCCCGTAATAGCCCCAATTATACTCCCCTACATAATCCCCTACATAAGCCGCCGTTAAGGAGTGTAGACCCTAAATCCTAAGCACTAAGTAATCCCCTACATACTCCCCCTTGAAAGAGTTCAGACTATAACTCAGATAATATCCCTAAAGCCCAAACCCTAAACCCCTAACCCTAAACCCCTCAACCCTAAACCCCTAAACTCCTAAACCCCGAAATTCTAAACCCTAAACCTTAAAACTTAAACCCCAAACCTATACCAACTTAGGAGGTCCCGGAGTGCTCCAGGATTGGGGTCTAAGGCATGATCACGGCATCCGATGATAGAAGCTACTTAGTCTAGGGTTTGGGTTTAGGGTTTTCGGGTTTTAGGGGTTCAGGGTTTTAGGTTTTAGGGTTTAGGGGTTTAGGGTCGGTTTAGGGTTTAGGGGTTTAGGGCTTAGGGTTAGGGCTTACCTAGGAGTAATCCACGTACCTAAACAGAAAGGACTTGTACTCGATGTTTAGGTACCTTTAACTTTTTGCGAGGGTCTAGGTCACTCTCGATCAGTTTTGAAGTTTAGTGGTTTAGGTGGCCTGGGTGTGAGGACACTATGGTTGCTGCTTGGTACCCTAAACCCTCAACCCAGTACGTAAACGGCGTATCTGGAAAGACTGGTAAGAGGAGTGCCTGCCCCGGCTTAGAGCCTCACCCCGAGAAAAAAAAGTGTTTTGGGTTTAGGGTTTAGCGTTGGGGTTTAGGGTTTAGTGTTGGGGTTTTGGGTTTAGCCTTGGGGCTGAGGGTTCAAAGCTTAGTGTTGGGGTTTAGGGTTTAGGGCCGTGTCCATGTTCATATCCCAGGCTTCTTCTGATCTACATCCTGGAGCACCTAAACCCTCAACCCCCGAGAAATGCAAAAAACATGTCCCTGCAAGGGCTTTGAGGGCTGAAAATGCTGCAGGATTTCCTCCACCAAATGTACGGGCCCAGGGGAGTACGGTGTCCCTAAGATGGATTGCTTCCACACGCACAAAAACTTTGTTGTTGCAAAAGCTCTGATATCCCCCAAACCCTGAATCTTAGCCCACCCTAACCCCTGAACCCTAGACCCTAAGCCTTGAACTTTAGACTGCCAGGGATGCCACCATATGTGTCAATGAGCCAGCATGCCGTGCATGGAAACCGGGTGATCTCCTGATGAGTGTTTGTTAGGGGCTAAACCCTAAACCCTAAACTGCGTAAGGCTTGGGGTTCAGGCTGGGCTTGTAGGGTAGATAGGCTTTTAGTAGGTTGTGAAGCAAAACTGATAGACCATTGCTACCATTCTACCCAATACCCTATAGACCCTACCGACTTCAGCAACCCTAAGCGCTAAAACCTACCCTACTCTAAGGACGCTGAATATGTTTCTGTTCCTAAAGGTCAATGTCAGAACGGACGATCCCCAAACCATAAACCCTAAGCCCCGAAAACCCCTAGACCCTAATCCCTGATACACTTCCTCAAAGGGTCCTGAGTCCTGACCAAAAAGGGCACCTACCTCATGGCCATTTTGGGGACAGATATATCGGGGTTATATGGGAATAATGGAAAAGAACATGGGTTTAGGGTTTAGGTCTAGGTTTAGGGCCTACCAAGGATGACAGAATCTGTGTAACCCCAAGCTCTGTAACAAGGACTGTATGAAAGTCATGTGATAGTCCTGGGGGAGGTTCATGGGACTTAGTCACTATGTACATCTGGAGGGTATAACTCGGCTTACACTCCCCCTCACTAGCCTTTTATCATCCGGAACCTTAAGCCCTAAACCCTTACACCCTAAACCATGAATCCCTAATCCCTAAACCCTAAACCCTGAAGCCTACAACCCTAAACTCTAAAACCCTGAACCCTAAAGCCCTAAATCCTAAAACCCTGAACCCTAAAGCCCTAAATCCAAAACCCTGAACCCTAAAGCCCCAAACACTAAAACCCTGAACCCTAAAGCCCTAAACCCTGAAGGAATACATGGAGGCGCTTCTAAGCGGAGCTGCTTATAAAGAGTTTAGGCCTCATGGCTCAGGGCTCTGGACCTGGCAGAGCTACAGGGCATCTAGATCCCCTAAACCCTAAGCCCAATGGGTTAGGGTTTAGGGTTTAGGGGTTTAGGGGCTTAGGGTTTAGGGGTTTAGGGTTTAGGGCTTAGGGTGTAGCATTTAGGCTAGACCCCTAAACCCTAAACTTCCCTACGTCCTAAACCCTCCCAGAAAACTCACCTGTTGGCTTGGGACCTTTCGTGTGAACACACCAGCCCCTTCACCTACACCTCCATGCACCCAGCCACGGGTTTAGGGTTTAAGGTTCAGGGTTCGTAACAATAAACCCTAAACCCTCAGAGGAGCCGTCTCACAGCATGATGAAACACAGACACTGAAATTAAGCTGCTACAATAAGGAAACCCTACTATTTCCTATATACTCATACTACGGTAACTTAACTTAGGTTCCTGATCAGCCACCCTGAAAACCCTAGACCCTAGACCCTAAACCTGAACGCATGCTATATATGTCCCCTACCCTATGATACTGTAGTAGTTTCCATGTTCTTTTCCATTATCCCTATATAACCCCGAATCCCCCAAACCCCAAACCCTAAACCCAAACCCCAAACCCCTGACCCTTAAACTCTGGTCCCCAAACCCTAAACCCTAAACCCCTAACCCCCTAAACACAGGCAGGGCCTTCTCGATCGGCCCAGGAATCAGTCGACCTGCGGAATGCACGGGCAGATTATAGCTCCCAGATGCAACCGAAAGGGGCCTGCATAGGGTTTAGGGGTTCAGGGTTTAGGGTTTGGGGGTTTAGGGCTTAGGGCTAGGGATTATATAAGGGTTTTATATGGTTATAGAGGTGTTATATATTCATTATATAGGGATAATCGAAAAGACAATGGAAACTACAAGTTAGGGTTCAGGGTTTAGGATGTAGGGTTTAGGGACTCTGGCTCAACCCAGAAAGGCCCATGTCCCCTAATTAGTTTCGGATCCCTACTATGGCTTAATGTATATTCCTTAATTAAGGATCTTGGGCTGTCAATGTACCAATAATCCCCTAAGGTGCATGCACCCAATAATCGCGTCCTTGGGCTGTCCAACACTGCTGTCCGAATGTGATCGGTTGGATTTTGAAAAAAGAAACATAACAGGGACATATCATCCGAATTCGCGTCGTCAAATCGCCAAAGCTACCTGAACCCTAGAGGTGTGTAGAATAATGGCCCCTTGGACTATATTTAAAGGTATTGGACCATTATTTTACCTAATTTGGGGGTGTAGGTAGTTCAACCCTAAACCCTTCTAGGTCAGCATCTCTTCTTTATGGCTCCTCTTCCGATCATGTAGACCCTGCACGGGACCCCTGATGGCGAGGAGGTTCTGAGTCCTGCTCGGAGGTTCGTGAGACTTACTGTTTTGTTTCGGGTTTAGAGTTAAAATCCTGCATGACCTTGATATACTAGAGTACCAGTACTCCAAGGATAAGGTACATAGGGTCATGCAGGATTTTTTTTCCACCGTAGTTTCTGTTAACTGGGCATATAGGCCCTCGGACTGGAATTTCATGATTATCCAGTTCTAGAGAATCTAGTCGGGCTATAGCTCCAGTGATAAGTTAAGTAAGTACACCGAAACCACCAAAGTAGCTAAGATCATGGTCCAAAACCTCTAAATATGGCCCAGGGGGCCATGATTCTACATACTTTTGGGTTTCAACCCTAAACCCTAAACCCAACATACCTTTGCGGTTTCAGGTAAGTCTGATAAACCTTCCAGCAAGCCGGAGCCCTATTCCCTAAACCCTCTATATCCTTGTATACACCAACATAATCTTATATGAGCCATAAACTAAACTCCTAGTATCCTCCTTACTTGCCCCTTATAGTAGTCCCCCATATAACCCCCTATATAACCCCCCTTTAAGAAGCTTAGACTATAGCCCTTGCATGGAGGTATATAAAGTCAGCCACTATCATCCGCGGGCTCTTCTTAACCTATATACCTACATCCCAAGAACCAACAACCCCCCCCCCCCAAACAACAACACACACACACCCACACACACACACACAAACCCTAAACATCAAAGGTTTACTGTTTAGGGTTTGGGGCCAAGGGTTTAGGGTGCCTGAAGCCTAAGCCCCAAACCCTGAGTACTAAAGACGTGAGCTCATAGTGTTGCGAAAGCAAATGGAACCCAAAGGACCCCCAAAGACCCAAAGTAAGTGCACAGCAATCGTAAACTTTGGGACCCAAAGTGGTCAGTATTGAGGTTTTCGGATTAGCGGGGATTAGGCCCTAAACCCTAAACCTTAAACCCTAAACCCCCATAGAGTTGCATCCCTAAAATGTAAGCAGCCTGCAACTTGACCTAAGGGCACGCGCCTGGCGGTGTTGGAGCCAAAGGCGCCTCTCATGGGACTACTGGGGTTGAGGATGAAGTGTCTTAGGGTTCAGGGCCCAACACCCCCCATTCCCCCGCAGTATACGGATCCCTCTCAAACCAACGGCCATATTAGAAATTTTATTGAGGAGCATCGGGGCTTCTTAAGGCTTAGTAAGGCTTATCAGGACTCACTTTTGGGGGGGTACATGTGGCGGGGGCACATGGTAGTACTCTGAGCCGCTGGAGTTCGTGCGGACGTTCCAGGACGAGTTTCTGAATGATCCACGTACTTATAATAAGGTTCACGTTAAGGTGTAGGATTGATTCGAGAATTGAAGTTCCCTTTTTGGGAGTGCCTACGGGAGGATTATTACGGCATATTGAGATCTAGGCATCAGGAGTTTGACATTTTGCTGCAGCTACGTTCTTCGCCAGCAGGCCACTTTGGCGGCCACTGCCCCACTGTACAATGGCCATGGCCATGGCCTGCTAGTCAACCTCTGGAACAGGAACAGAGCCGGACGCTTCATCATCAGCGAGCCGGATGCTTCTGCAGCCTGCAGGCTTGGGCTGACGCCGCACTGAAACAGGCTCATTGGCGCGGATGATGGCCGACTGCAAGTCGCTAAGCGCCATTGCAGCAATCTCTGCATGGAGATTTGCTGCCTCCACGTTGGCATCTGCATTGGCCGAAAGTGCACTATCCATCCACAGCGTGCTGGGAAATCGAGCTGACATGCCAGCACTGTAGCGAGCGTCATAGCCGGTGTCGTAGCCAGCATCGTAACTGGCAGCAAGCCTCGCTCGTTGAACCTCCTTTTGGTTCCTCTCTCCGAGAGCACCGACAAAGAGAAGCAGATCCATATTGGGCCCCCCCCTCCCTGTTTATGGAAATGGACACAATGTAGTTGTATTGATGTGGCGCCTACACAGGATGGAATTTCAGTACTTTAGTGCCCAGGTATTTCCTACTCTACTATAGGGGTTCCTGGACCCTTTGGGTTTTGTGTTCACATGTTTTGGCTTAATCCCCAAACCCTAAATCCCTAGAAAACTTCAAAACTCTGGAAACCCTACACCCAAAGCACCGGCCTCTTTCGTTTGGGGCGAGGCTTCGGCTGAGAGTTGTTCAGTCTTAGGGCCCAGGATGAGGGTTTAGGGTTTGGGGTTTCGGAATGAGGGTTTAGGGTTTGGGGCTGAGGAATGAGGGTGTAGGGTTTGGGGTCTAGGAGTGCGGGTTTGGAGTTCAAGGTTTGAGGTTTAGAAGTTAGGGTTTAGAGTTTAGACCGTGCTCATCGTTCACAATGTAAAGCTTAGAATTCGGGGCCCTCATTCCCAGAAAGCTAAGGGTGGTGGAGGGATGGGTCTGGAGTCAAAGTCAAGGCGACTCCTAGATGGAATTTTATATGAGCTATAGTCTAAACTCCTTAAAGGGTGTTATATAGGGGATTATACAGGGGTGTACTATAGGGGTTATTAAGGGGGATGCTAGGAGTTAAGTATAGCTCAAATGATGTGCAATGTGAAAACAATTTTGCGGTAAAGAGTAAGGTACCTAGACAAGCAAACTGCACTCTAATCCCTAAACCGAAAACCCTGGTGACATCAACGCGTTGATTTTCCTGGCTTCTCTACATCGTATTACAGGGAGGGCTCCCAAACTACCAAGTGCGCATTAAACCCCACAAGGGTTTAGAGGTTAGGGTACATCCTAAACCCTGCCTGGACCCAAAGCAGTTCCTTTTTGGAGCGTGTATGCTTTTAAGGTTTTGGGCTTTATTAGCCCCCCCCCACCACCCTCGCCACCCCCGCCCCCCCCAACCACCCCCCAAAAAAAAACAAAAAAAAACACATTGGAAGGTCTAGGTAGGCCCCACTTGAAGGTTATAGGATTTAGTAACTACTTATGAATGGAATTAGAAACTATTTCTGTTTGCGGTAACCTACCTAAAGCCTTTCTAGGGTGTTAGAAGTAGGGCTACAACCCCAGTAGGTAGTTACTAAGTCCGTCTTCCTTCGAGTAGACCCTGCGCCAGGTCTACCCTCGATGGCCTGCACAGAAAATGATTTCTTTGCCTTCCCTCAAGTATGGATTGTCCTGCCATAGGTTAGGGATGTTTAGGGTTTAGGGTCTAGGGTGTGTTCCCCTGTAATTAACGAAGGCCGTCTAAGGAAAGTGAAGGCTAATTCAGTATAGGGGGTCCGGGGTCAGGGCCTAGGGGAATTCATAACTGGAACCCTGGTAGAAATGATGATTCCAGCTGGTTACAGCCTAAGGGTCCAAGAACCCCAATTTGAATACAGGGGATTTGGGAACTAGCCATTTTATTTTAAGTCTTAGGAGAGAAAAATGCTAACCTGGGACACGTAAGCCCTAAACCCTCAGCTTTTATAGTCCCCCTTAAGTAGATAGAATATGGGGTAATAGGGGATCTTATAATAACATACCTAAAGCTATATTCTATCTACTTAAGGGGGACTATATCCATAAACCAGTACTACTGGGTTACCCTAAACCCTAAACCCTAAACTTAAACCCTAAACCCTAAACCCTAAAAATTAGGGTTCCTAGACTTCTAAGAGTCTTGCGTTCAAGGCCAGGATTGCTGGGCTACGGCATTTGCAGCTCGTAGATTGACCTAAACCCTAGACCGCGGTAGGTTTTGGGTTTAGGGCTTTGGCCTATTGAACTGGCCAGCGTTTTTTTTGGCACTTCATGGTTTTTCAAATGAAGTCGCACATACATAGACTCAGCAATGTTCCAAATGAAACCTGCATACACCCAACAGCCAGTTAAAAACATCATCTTATAACCCTAGGGCTCTAAGTCCAGCAATAAACCCTAAACCCTAAACCCTAACCTACATTGGGCCCTAAAGTCTAGACATGGTACATACATGAGCTACAATCAACATTTCCTACATAATTTAGCGGACTTCATTAGGAACTGTATTGGGAACTATACTAAACTACCGGAAGGACCCCTATGTCCACGGTTAAGGGCCCCCTAACAAGGCTAATATTGAAAGTAACTCGCCTGAATAACCCTATACCTCCATATGATCATTTATCCTAACCTTTTCCCTAAACCCTAGACCTTCAACCCTAAACCCTTTTCCCTATCGGCCTGGCGCCACCTCTCTGGCAAGACCGCCGTCTCTCGCTTGCCGAGCGTATCATCGGCTTGCATGTAGCCTGCATCTAGGCCCTAAACCATAAACCCCTCTAGGTTGGGTACTGCCCCCCCAGTAACAGTCTATATTAGAGGTCCTATTTCGGGCTGTATATAACATATTTTGTTATTATCCAACTGTTACTGAGGGGGGCAGTACCCAACCTCTAGGCTTTAGGGTTTGAGGCTTTGGGGTTGAAAGCATGGGCCCCTAGTATGGGCCCTGAACCCTGGGATCCCCATCTACCTACTACTACTACTACTACTACTACTACTACTACATACCCCATATGTACCCCCTAAACCCTAAACCCTAAACAATTATATACCCAATATGTACCCCCCCCGGAACCCTAAACCCTAAACCACTATATACCCTATATGTACCCCCCTGAACCCTAAACCCTAAACAACTCTAT